CCGTTAACGAGTTATTAACGAAAAACAGCGACCAATAAGAATCGAGTACGGCTGACGCGAGGCGGCCCAGCCAACCGGCGCGCGAAGCCCAGTTCCGCTCATTGGCTCGGTCGCCACGCGCCAGCCGAGCTCGCCTCTCATAGGTCACTGTTTTTCGTTAATAACTCGTTAACGGTGCCTCGGAGAAAATTTTTGTAAAGGAAAAAGTTGCTTCGAATGACCCGAGGAACCCGCCACTTTCGGATTGCGAGACATTTTTGGGACATCCTGTATATCTTTTTATGTCAGGAAGTTAATAAACCGAGTATATTTACGTGTACTCTAAACAAAGAGTCGACAGACGTACGTGACACGATTAAAACGAAACGAAAAGTATTTCCGGAACGTTCGAGTTCGCAGAATGCAAGGAAACGCTGCTCTTGGTATTATTAAAATAATATAAAATATAAAATATTAACGATATAATAATATAAAAATTAAAGTATTAAATATAATAAAAAAATTAATAATATAAAAATTAATTATATAAAAATATAAAAATTAAAATATTAATATTAAATATTTTATATAAATATAAAAATCCGTTCTTGTCTAATGACCAGCTAAAACGTATCCGGGGATCCTTCGCTTCTTCCACGGCTTCCATCAAATAATTAGCGAAAGTGCGAATTTACATAATGATTCGCAAGCCGGACAATAAATCACGCTGCTCGCAGAAGCGATTCGTTCGCGGGTGTTTATCGATTATCGTTCCGCTTGGATAGAAGAACAGCTTCCTCCGATGCGAAACGACGATTCGAGCGAATATATTTCGCCGCATTTTTATCACGCCATAATCGATAAACAGACGAAAACGACTAGAGGCGAGGAATACAGTCTCCTTCCGAGAACCGAGCGAATATGACGCGGGAACGTTGTGGACCTCCCGTCAAGAATTCTCTATCTCCGATTATAAAACAAAGGTGGGGGGAAAAAGGAAAAAAACGAGACGCGTGCCACGGAGAGAATCGCGCGATGCAAAAGGAACGGAGACAGGGGGCGATCGTTGTCGCGTCACATCTCCCGGCGCATACGTACAGGGTGTCCCGAAAATGTCTCGCTGTCCAAAAGTGGCGGGTTCCTCGTGTCGTTCGAAGCAACTTTTTCCTTTACAAAAATTTTCTCCGAGGCACCGTTAACGAGTTATCAACGAAAAACCGTGACCAATGAGAGGCGAGGTCGACTGGCGCGAGGCGACCGAGCCAATGAGCGGAACCGGGCTTCGCGCGCTGGTTGGCTGGGGCCGCCTCGCATCGGCCGTACTCGATTCTTATTGGTCACGGTTTTTTGTTGATAACTCGTTAACGGTGCCTCGGAGAACATTTTTGTAAAGGAAGAAGCTGCTTCAAATGATCCGAGGAACCCGCCATTTCCATTTTGGGACACCCTGTATATTCGAGAACCTGTCCGGTGCCCCGAGAAAGGTGTTAAAATCGAAATAATTGCGGCGTCGGAGCCCCGTGGAAACAATGAACGCTTGAAAAGCCGATCCGTCGTGGCCAACGGTTCCCAATAATGACAGCTTCCGTTACATGGAAACCAGCTCGCGATTTAAACTCACGCTCAGCACGTTAAACGACCGACCACCTTCGGCCACGTACATACATACATACATATACGGTATACATATACATACGTGCATGCGACAGCTAGAGCTAATTTCTCCGCTTTTTCCTCGTCATCGTCAGGATCGTCCATAGTTCACTATCCTCTGCTCTCGGGGGATTCTTAAAAAGAAAAAAAACGAACGAACGAACGGTGACAAGAGGTGACAATTATTCGAACGAGGGGGTATAACACGAAGGGCTGTCCGCTCGTTCTCTGTTCATCGTCGCGCGCCGCGCCGTCCCGTCGTTCCGTTCGTCTCCGTTCGGTATAGCTGAGTGGCCGAGCGAGTCTCACTGCGTTAGTTCCTCTCGTTCTAATTAACGAGCGACCTGTGTGCGCGTCCGACGGGACGGAGCGAGAGGGCCAGGGGGGGGGACACCGGCAGCAGGACGAAGAGGGGCGGCCGGCTAGAGGCGGGGGATGCGCGAGCGACAGAGACGCGGGACGAGCCGGCCAACCACGTGACCAACGGGCGGGGGTGGCAAGCGACATTTCGCATGCTCAGAACTCCACAGGCTGTAGCGTATCGCACACCGAGCCGAGCCGAGCCGACGTATACCCTGAGAGGCAGGGAAACAATAGTGGCTGGCTGCCGTCCGTGAGAAGGGAATCCGTCAGAGAGCCTCGAGAGAAAACCCGTACGCCGAACCGTTGTCCTCTCTTTGTGACGGGATCGCGAGAAGGAGCGTTGTTCGATTCGACACGGGACGCGACGGGACGCGAGACGCGCGTTTTCACCCTCTGCGACGGGGAACAACAACGCAGCGGGAGAGAACACACACACACAGACACACGGGGGATAGATACGTTTTCTCGTGCGCGATCCAAAGGGCCCACCTATTTTTTTCCATCCGTCGGCAGCTCGCCGATCGTCAGGCCTCCTCTCCGTCGGTCTGACAAGTGGTTTCCTCGAGCCGATTGATTATTTCGTCGTCCCCCTCTTTTCTTTTCCGTCGGCTCTGCTGTTCTGGGTGGTGTCGTCAGGGTCAGAACGGCGGTCGAGTGACAGGGCGTCCCGCCGCCAGTGGTGTCACAATGATCTCGTGGTCGTGGAAAGTGCGAGAAAAGTGAGAGATACAGTGCCGCGGCCCCGCGAACACCGTTCAAGTGCGCGTCTTCTCACACACGCGCATCCCGATTAACGAGAGAACGGCGAGACGCGAGCAGGGATGATGACGATGCTGCTATCGGAAGGAAACCAGCCGCTGCTTCCTTGATCCACGAGAAAACACTCTTATCGATACGTGCGCGTCTGATCCAACACACCGGATACAAGGTTTGCACGAATAAATATATATATATATATTCATATTTATATATATATATATATATATATATATATATAAATATACGTACAATGTGTTTCGCATTTGTCGAGCCGCGTAGCGGCGCGGATCGTTCGCGGAACGCGACGATTGATAGTCTCGCACCCGGACGAGTACCCTCGCAATCCGATGCAAAAGCGCCGAGCGAGCGATCGATCGATCGAAGCGTAACACGCTTCCCTAACCGCTTCGTAGAAATATTTTGTACCGCCGCGCGCGGTGCGGCGACGGGGAAAAATCCGGGGACCCCCTCCCCGCTCCCCGATGTGCCTCGATATGAAATCGAATTTGTCGACGGCCACGTGGTAACCGTGATGTATCTCGTATTCTATGGTTTCGTGCGTGTGTTACGTGTGCGCGTTCCTTAAATTATTAGACGCGAGCCGACGCATGGCTACGCGCGGGGACGTGCCTCGGCGCGCGCACGCACGTACGTACGTACGTTCGCACACGTGTAAAAGTCATTATCACGCGAGCATGCGTAACTTATGCATCTCATTCGGTTCGTTACCAGTAATGTATTTTAATTGGTCGGCCGCTGTGCAGCGCGCGCTAAGTAACGCGTGTGCATGTATGTATGTATGTATGTATGGTCTGTGGTCGCGCACGGATCTAAGGCGTAATAAAACAGCTTCGCTCTTGCGACAACGGCCGGACGAATGACGCGGCCGGAGGACGGAGTGAGTGACAGGCTGCCGCGGCGAAAACGATCGGAGAAAGCCCCCCATCCCCCGGCGGCCCCGGTTCCCCGGTTTTCCGGACGGACGAGATGTCGGCGACGGCGGAGCGAGTTCTCGCGATTTCCATGGCCGCGACGCGACGGGAAGAGAACGGTCCCCCGGAACCGTCTCAGGGCGTTCTGGGCGAGAACCTTTTGTCTTCACACCCGCAGTGTAACCATCCCTCTTCTTAGTTTTCTTTCTTTTTTTTTCCTCCTTTCGAATGTAAACCAACCGTGCCTCCTTGCGACACGGAGCGTCGCGCGCGACGCTGGATTTAGGTGGTGCATAATAGGTTAGTAATAACGTTAGTTTACTAAATACGTTAGTAATAACGATGTAACGCCGTGAAAACTCATTCCTTTCGATTCGTTTCTTCGCATTTCTTTCGACGACTGACGGACGGAGCCCGGCCACCTAAGCAACTTGCCCGCGATAAACACTTTCACAGCACATTTTGTTTAGATAAGCCGAGCACCCCGCCTTTCGTCTTTCTTCGGCCGCGGCCCTCTAGTCCTTCGTGGAAAATAAATAATAAATGCGGTGCCGGCTGCGCGTAAAGGACGCGCGAATTATCGCGGATGAATTTATTATTTATTTTTTATGGGGCGAGAAGAGTTTTCATTCGGGAGAATTTCTGTTTAATCGGTTCACCGTTCACTTTGGTTAAGCGGAATAATTCAGGGAGGTCGAGGCAATTTATTTTGGAAAGCCGGAACTGAGAGTAGTAGTATTAAGTAGTAGTATACTAAGTAGTATACTATATTTGTAGTAGTATACTATAATATACTACTATACTATAGTAATAATATATACTATACTAATATACTACTAATATAGTGGTATACTATATTAGTAGTATATTATAACTACTAATATTATAACCACCACTTATTACTGTAACTACTAATATAGTAGTATATTAGTATAGTATATATTATTATTATAGTATAGTAATAGTAATAGTATATATTGTTACTATAGTATATTACTATAGTATAGTATATTATATTAGTAGTATACTTAAGTAGTAGTAGTAGTACTAACTTCGGTATTCGAAATTATAAAATGATTAATTATTATTCGTACAATCTATATTGTTCTTGTCTTACCGTCACGCGCAAGAGACTAGAAAAAAAGAAAAGGAGAAAGCGGACGACGCTTTCTTATGGCCACGCTTGGGTTTCGTGTTACACTAATGAATTTGTAAATTCGATGTGGACAGATATATCAAGTTCTTCTCCATTCGGTATGCTCCCCAAACGTTTTCCTTCTTAACAGCTGTGCACTTTATCCGGAGTTTGATTAATTTTTATGCGGAGGGGATGACAGAAAAGTGTAGTCAGAATTTGTATAGTCGGAAAAGAATGCGTAAAAGATTGAATTAGAAAGATATAATAATATATAATAATAATAAATGTATAATAATAAATAATATAATCAAATATTCTAGTAAAATTAATAAAGAATAATATATAATAATAATAAATATATAATGATAAATAATATAATCAAATATTCTAGAAAAATAAATAGAGAAACGAAGCAGCATAAATAAAATTTATGAAAACTTTCGTTGGAAGTTGTTGAATTGAAAAATGCAATTTTGATAAAAGAGACTGTCTGATGTAACGTTTTACTATAAAATCTATAAATTTTGCTCGAATCTAATCTCGTATTTCAATTACTTAATTATAGTTTTCAAAACTAATTGTTGGAATTCGATATTCTGAAATCAATTCTCAAGTATCTTCTTATCACGTTTTCATCTTTCTACGAACTTCATCCTTCCGAGTTTACTCAATATTATTTTACTTAGAAAGTAACAATTAAACACCAGAAAGACTTACAAATGAAAAACAGAAAATGTAACTTACACCGAATCTCCGCGAAACTTTTGTATCCTGCGTTGCAATTTAATATATACCCGGAGAAAATGTTTTATTTTTCTGTTCCCATAGTTTAACAGAATACTGCGCGTTATTGTACGAATTATTAGATTTTTTTTTTATTTGTTTACAATTTGAACCGTGGACGTAACGATTAATTTTTGAAATCCGAAGCAAAGAATTGCAAAGAATTGCTCTCCGTTTAATTCTTCGTCTTTTTTACTAATTTTCAAAGTTCGACGATCGAAGCTTCATGAATTTTCAGTATTTATAAAAGTTTGTATAATATCGTGCAAATTATTTTATATTAACAAACACTCTACTTTATTGTTGTCACAAGAAACGTTCTCGCTGATATCCACTGACACGTTTATTTATTTTAGCTAACTAATGGAAAACAATTTTAAACGACGCTCTTAATTAAACGTCTTAAATATCGGAATATCCTGTCTTTGTTAATACGAGTAAACTTATTGCACAATTTAGTATAAAATTGTATGAATACAAATTTTACGTATATCGTAGACAAGAAACTGTTTGAAATTAATTCGAAATTGTACACCTTTACCACGTTGTACAGACACATAATTTATATACATGTATAATATCGTATGTTACATATATACATATGTATATGTATAGCACCTGTTACATCCATAACCTATTTCATTTATTTTATGGAAAGTGACATTAATATTGCGTGTAAAATGAATACGATCGACATACGAGCCGCTCATTCGACAAATCGGTTAACTCTATAAATCAAAAAGAAGAGAAGAATGATATAGTGATTATTATCTTGCTATTCCAATATCCCTTTAACCTTAAAGCTATCAAATCCGTTAAAATAACTGGTTTTTATTTTATATAATATATATATATATCATATATTTTATATATTTTATATAATAATTTATAACAATGTTTCTATGAGAATCGATTTCTAGACAAACTTCTTCATTCAAGCATATTACAATCTTGTTTCTGTCATAAAATAATACAACGTTAGTCGCGTCAAAGACTCGCTTAGTTTCAATGTTCAAATATAAAGTGAACATGACCGATAAGTATTACAAATAAATTGTCAATTATTCTGCGAACAAAACAATTTTCTTATTTCGCGGTGTTAAATCCAACAGCAAGGAAGCAAGTGCTTTCACGCTAAAAAGAAAGTAATTCAGAATTACATAATTTGCACTAATCGCGACGTCTTCGACATTACAGTAGAACTAATTGACATGACGCCACTAGGATGTCCCTATATATGACATGACGTCACTAGGATGTCCCTCAAACACTTTCCGAGTATCCCAAAAATGACTCGCAATCCGAAAGTAGGGGATTCCTGAGGCGATTCGAAGCAACTTTTTCCTTAACGAAAATGCGATCCGCGGCTTCGTTTACGAGTTATTAACGAAAAACAGTGGACCAATCAGAGGCGAGATCATTTGGCGCGAGACGGTCGAGCCAATGAGCGGAACCGGGCTCCGTGCGCTCGTTGGCTGGGCCGCCGCGCACCTGCCGAGCTCGCCTCTTATTGGTCAGTGTTTTTCGTTGATAACTCGTAAACGAAGCCTCGGAGAAAATTTTCGCAAAGGAATAAGTTGCTTCGAATGACCTCAGGAATCTCCCGTTTCCGGATTGCGAAATATTATCGGGACACCCTGTATATCGCAAATCTATCCGTCGGTCGTGCGCCAAATAACAATAAAACTAATTGTGTAAAATACCGAGCTGTTTTATCAATATATTAGGAATTAATATTATATATATAATTATTAGGAACGCTTCGCGATGCCAAACAAAGGTTATTGTCGTCTCCTTTTTATTCCACACACGAAGAGGAGGTTATTGTGCACAATATCCTGATCCGACTATAGCAAGCGAGGGTTAATAATATAAATACGTTCTTGTAAAGCGAGCAACGATTATCATCGTTTCTTTTTTTTTTTGTCAACAGTGGCATAGATATTGAAAATAAAAATCGATTGTCTCTCTGTGACCGAAACATTCGAAAATTATTACCACGCTAATTGTGTTCTCGTCGTATTTCGATACGCNTTTCCTTAACGAAAATGCGATCCGCGGCTTCGTTTACGAGTTATTAACGAAAAACAGTGGACCAATCAGAGGCGAGATCATTTGGCGCGAGACGGTCGAGCCAATGAGCGGAACCGGGCTCCGTGCGCTCGTTGGCTGGGCCGCCGCGCACCTGCCGAGCTCGCCTCTTATTGGTCAGTGTTTTTCGTTGATAACTCGTAAACGAAGCCTCGGAGAAAATTTTCGCAAAGGAATAAGTTGCTTCGAATGACCTCAGGAATCTCCCGTTTCCGGATTGCGAAA